AGGGTGGGCAGCTTCCCGGCTTGCCTGGACAGAAGGGGCTCCTGGCATGCTGTGTCCTGGCCGTGCTCAGAGAGGGGCGAGTGGCCCCTGGTGTGCYTGGGAGGACAGCTGCCCAGCCGCAGGATTGCTGGCATTCCAGAGAACAATCCCAGCTCTCCATGGCTGAGCCTCCATTCTCGGTAGGTCGCTCTTCATCCTGTTGGGGTGGCACTAGCCCGGTGACCTTAAGAGCCGCCAGGGACAGATCCTTTCCTCAGGGGATCTCCCACTGTGTTTCACAACTCTCGGCTGTGTCCAGACCCATCCTGCAGACCTGATCGGTATCTCCTTCTCGGCCCCCTGCCCTGGCTGAGAATGAGCCACACTCCTGCTTCCTCCGGCTTCCTCCCCTCCCCTCCAGCCCCACCCTGCCCTTATCACTCCCTCCTCATCCTGCTCCCTGGCTGTCAGCCTGCTCCCTTATAAGGTGCGATCTGCGCCCGCCTTGCATCTCTAGGTGACTCCCCTCTCCGAAGAGAGGCTTTCCCAACCCATCCTGGCTACGTGGCCATTGTCCCTGGCACTGGGGGCGGCAGGTGAGGTAGGCCAGGTGGCGATCCTGCTGCCAGTCCAACCAGTTGGGTGTGACGGGTGGAGGAGGAACGGCTCCCTGCCCATCCCTGCCCGCGGCGCCGCTGCTGGGTGTTCACCCGCTGGGTTCCTGCCGTGACTGGCACCTGGGGCACGGCTACTCCGTGCAGGGAGGCACTCAAGGYGGTGTCCGACCTGCTGCTGGAGCAGCCCTGTACTAGCCAGCTGCCAGCCTGCCCCAAGTCCTCTGTGCTCTGTGACCTCCCGGGGGCCAACGAGGCAGCAGGAGCCCAGGGCAGGAGGTGGGGAGGCCTCTCCCCTGATGTAGGGTCTGTCTCTCAGTCACCTACACAGGGATGTGGGATCTACTGCCTGCCATCAGCTGTCCTGCTTCCCCCATGGGCTGTGGGCGCTCTGAGCTGGACACAGAAACAGATGAGGCTGGTCCTGTGGGCTCYCCTCCCATGGCCTTCTGCTTCTGCCAGGCTGAGTTTTAAGGGCTGATGTGTGGGCCAGGACCCTGTGCTTGGCACAGGGAAAGAGGCCAAAGATGCCRGCTCATTTATTTTTTAGGTAATTGAGACTGACCAGAAGCCTGTGGTGAATTTGCAGGGCCGTGAGCCTGTACAGAACAAGTGCACTTGCAAACGCTYGGGCAATTGCTGGCTTGAATTATTGATGGAGTTTCTGTTTTTCCTAAGTGCATCCTGATAGGCAGCTGGAACCAGGAGAATTTGTTGCTTCCTCTCTCTCTCTTGAGGATGGGATCTGGTGCTGAGAGCTTTCAGAGAGCGGGCAGCCAGCTGGCTCTCCTCAGGCCCTTGAACTGAGAGGGCTTGGCCAGTTACTGGAGTGGTGTTCCCATTTTTCGTGTTGGTTTGGGGTCTGTGTTGCAGAATTCCTCGGAAAGCACATCCCTCCTTGTCAGCCTGGCAGGTGTGTCTGGCCCAGGAGCCATCCTGGATGAGGGGCTGTGTCCATGTTGGCTCTGATGGYGCTGGAGAAGGGCTTTGCCCATGCTCCACCATCTGGGGGGCTGCCAGGAGTGCCTGGCTATGGAGGCAAACCTTGCCACGTGCTGGGCAGGTGCGTGGGGGACACAAACCTGCAGTAAAACTGTGAAGAGCCTGGGACGTGGCACTCAGAGCTGATGCAGTTCTGTTCCCCTCCCTGGTGGCAGCAGGACGATGGGAGCGAGCAGCTGGTCCCTTAGCAGGGTGCTGGRGCAGGGCTGATGTGGCAGAGGTGATTCTGACTTGGTAGGTGCTTCTGTTGTACTTTGCCCTGAGTGTTCTGTGCTGAGGCAGCAGCCTTAGCCYCAGGGATGCCAGGACCTTTGGGTGACAGCTGTCCACGGACTCGGGGCATGGAGCAGGGCTGGAGCAGGTTGTTGARAGAATCCACGTAGAGGATTGTGCTGGAGATACCTGCGCTGCAGCGGTGCTCCCTGTCAAGCCTCTAGCCTGAGTCTTACCTGTCAGATCTTGTCCATTTTCCCTGGCCTGTGGAGTACAGTTCCCCATCTGCTGGCTCGGTCTGGGCCCCGGGGTTAATCTTTCCGTGGAAGACTCCAGGAAAACACTCCTGGTGGGGAGCCTTCGAGGCCTGGACTCCATCCTGTGGCAGTGGAAGGTGCAGGTGAGCTCTAGGTGGGTATGCCTGTGGTTTGGCCCTGGAAATTTATTTTTCCGGGCAAAGGATTTGTTCTGTGGGAAGGCAGCTCTGCTGGAGAAGCCGGYATGAGAGGTTTTGGAAGAACCTGCCATGTTACAGTTGGCTGCAGGAGAAGAGCTGTGGAGSGCTCAGGGTTTAGGGTGCCTGTCCGGCTGTGACCAAGCCTTTATCCAGCTGCGAAGATCGTGGCAGGGAAGCTCTGTGTGCACAGGTGGGCTGGCATTTGCCTCCTGGCCAGCAAGCAGGCTCTGCTCCCGAGGCTCTGTGACATCTCTCCAGTGGACACGCCCTGGCTTTGGGACCTGTGGGCACAGCACAGCGTGGGGTTGGTGCCAGGAAGTTGGGAGATAAGTCATGGGGAATTTGGATGGGAAGCTTCCTGAGTCACTGCATTGTTCTCTGGGGTCCCCTCGTACTGATTGTTGGGGGACAGAGAAGGTTCWGCCCCTGGGGTGAAGCTGCTCAGGGTGTGCTTTGTCCTTAGGCTTTTTGGTTTGCCSTGAACTGAGCCAGCCGAAATATTTTTGGCTTGCTGGGGTTTTTAAGTAACGGGTGTGTCAGCAAGTGCCTCTCTCATGATGAAAAGGCTTTCATGAGCCATCCTCAGAGCCGGTCAGGGTCTGGCTCTGGAAGAATGCTCTGTAGTTGGATCTTCAGAAGCTCGGGGGGGAGGAAGTGGGGGACTGGGCGCAAAGCGATCCCTGGAATTTCACCCTTGCGCGTTCCTGCATACTTGGCTTTGCACTGCACCAGCAGCTCAGTGGCTGGAGGGAGCAGGATGCGTGGTTGAGGCTCTCCTCTTCCTGCCCTCCCTGTCTCCCTCCAGAGATGGCCTCTGAATGCCCCAAACTGGTATTGGGATGCATTAAGGRGCTTTGCTGTACTCCGTCCCTGAATGTGGGGCAGATTTCTCACAGCTGGGGCTGTAAGGCAGAGTTTGGGGTTTGTGTGTCAGCCAGGAATGGCTGCACTCCAGCTGGGATGGCATTGGCTGTGCCCGTGGGGACAGCTCTTGCTGMCTTCTCTGGACCTGGCACTGCTTCTCCATAATTATGTCTTTAATCCCAGATCGATGGATGGCTGGAACGCGGGTGGAGGGAGTTGGTGTGTCCTGGTGGCAGAAAAAAACTGGGAGAGACGCTGTTCTGCTGGCACCTCTTGACCGTCACAGAGCCGTGTCCCATGGTGGGGGCAGGAATGACAGCTGTGTAGGCAGTGCAGCCCCTGACACTGAGTCTCTGTGCTTTGTATGACCTGATCCTACTGGGAGACCCTCGAGGGCCCTTCCTGAGCATTCTCTGTGGATTTGTGGGTGCAAGGGGACAGGACCTGTCCTATTCTTTCCCCTGCTGTTGTGTTTACTCCCTGTGGAAGGGACGGGAAGGAAACAGCCTCGCAGCTGCTCTGGTCCCTTATCTGGGGCCCTAACWGCCCTGCAAGTCTCATTGTTAGTGTCCACGTTTCCCAGCTCTATTCCCAGGGAATGTGCAGAGGTGGGGATTTGGGGCTGGGGAGGCCCTGCTGGCTCTGCAGGCTCTACCTGGCAGCCAGGTGGGACAAGGGGATCTTCTGGGGCTGCTGTCTCTCCTGGCCATGCTTCCCACAGAGCCAGACCCTGCTGGTCCACATTTGCTGCAAGCATAATCCTGTTCATGAGACCAGRCCAACCAAGTCTCTCCTTGGAGTCAGGGCACTGCCTCTGCCCTCCTGCACYCCAAAAATCTGCCTCTTTTGCATCGGGACAGTTGAGGGCTGGCTGGGGAGCACAGCTGCTTGAACAAGGCCATGTTGTGRCGAATCCATTCTTCACAGGGGACTGCTCCCCTCTTTTAACGAGTTTGCTGAAATACTGCTCTGGAAAMAAATCCCATAAACCAGTGGGACCTCTGGGTGGGATTTTGGATGCTGCAGGTGCATAGGCTGTCTGGGGTGGTAGGACTGCYCTGTGTCCTTCTGGCCAAGACTGGRGTGTGGCAAGGAGCTGCTCCCTTTCCATCAGGGAGCCCTGGAAAGGCTGAGAACCTGTGTTCCTGTTTAAAGTGGGTGGGAGCCCACCAAAGGTGGGGAGTGTTACTCAGGGATGAGAGTTGGGATGTGTCARCACTGTTCTAGGAGGCACCAAGCCTCTCCTTTGGAGAATCCTGCAGATCCGTAGGGCAGGTGAGCAGCGAGGGTCAGAGCCATTCCTGCATTTCCATACAAGGCTCGGGAGTAGATCTGTTGAAAAAGCCTCAGGGAGTACCTGTTGCAARGTGGGAGGGGTGGAAAGCTGTGTGCATGAGGCAGGAGTCATGTCTGGGAGCCTCCAGAAGCTTGGTTGAGCTCTGGAGGGTGGTGGGCTRTGTTCTGCCTGGGTTGGGTGTGCCACAGCTCCTTCTCCTGCTGGGCACCGTGCAGGCACGAGTAGAGCAACTGGATTTTTTTATCGGTGAAGGCAGATGACAGAGTGGCAGTGACCCGCTGGTGGAATGTGCTGTGGGTGCCCTCCAAAGCGCTGGGAAAACATCCATCCTGCGTGGCTGGGCTGTGTCGTGGTGGTGCCACCATGGCTGACAAGTGCCTGTACCCATGGGAGGCTTTGGGGAACAGAGCCACAGGAGGAGTGGGGAAGGATTTGATAGACCAGGGAATTCTTTACTGAGTTCCKTGTGCTGCAGGCTGGGTCTGGAGGGGCTGCAGGAGGTGGTGGGAACTGGGATGCTGCCGGTGCAAGCTCTCAGCCCCGGGTCGTCCTTATCGATGCTCTGGGGCGGTGGCACCGGGGAATGGGGTGGGCAGAGCCGGTGCTGGAGACCGTGGGAAAGCAGCCTCTGTGCTGTCTGCCCGGCTTGAGCGAGTCCCCACACGCCTGCCATGACTGCACGGCTTTGGGAAAACCTCTCGGGCTTGCAGGGACTCGGCCAGGCTGCGCGGGAGGGGTGGAGGGCTGAGCCCTGGCGGCTCCYCTCCGCCTCTGCCGTTTCTCCCGTCAGTGGGAACAGTGAGGGGTGCTGGAGTCTCCATGGAGCTGGGGGGCTGCTGTGGGAGCAGCATCACGTTTGCCACCCCATAAGATGCTGCCCTCCCTCAGAGGGGAGGGGGTGGGAGAGAGGTGCCCGTTTCCCAGTTCTGTGCCTGCCCTACCTCCTGTTTGAAGTTCTCGTGTGTGATTTTGACCTGCTCCTGCTGTCCCTGCAGCTCTCTTCCCTCCTGCTTCCTCACTGTGGTGGCTGGGCTGTTTCTCCCATGACTCTCTGCGTCTAGACCTGGCTGTTCCGTGCCTTTGCCAATCAAACCTGAGCTTCCTCCTCTGACAGGTCTGTATGGAAGAACATTGCCTTTCTCTACCAAAATGTTGATTATGTCTCACTTGCTGTTCTCCTGTGGGCGGGGGTGTTGGAGGGGTCCAGGCCAAAGCCCATCCCTAGATCTGTGGGCTGAGGATCCCTGGAGGGAGAGCCCTGGTGGATACCTGGAGGGTGGTGAGTTTTGGCAGCAGTCCCAGGGGCTCATGGGATCTGTCCCCTTTATGGGGATCCCATCATATGGGATCTGTCCCCTTTATGGGGATCCCATCATATTCCATCCCCTTTCCTGGGTAGGAAGGAGCTGTGGAGCCAGGGCATTCAAGCTGTCTCCCCATCTCTTATCACACCAGGGAGGAGGGAGCAGATAAGTGACCCTTGTGGGATGTGGGTCACTTCTCAAGGAGTGTCCCTTGCCCCACCCCAGGGACAAGCTCTCCCCTCCTGCCCTGTCTGCCTGCAGCTTCTCCTTGCCTATGAGGTTTTCCCTYAGCCCACGGGAGCTCTTCTGGCTCAGCCCCAGCTGTTTGGTGTGCTGGGGGACCTTCTGTCCGCACAATGCCACTTGTCCAAGCTTTAATGCTGGGGCAGTTTGCATCTGAGTGCTGCTCTAGGACCCTGTTGCCAGCTCTCTGGTGATGGGTGGGAGTGGGTGTTAATGCCATAAGATTTTTTTTTTTCCTGTTCTGAAAGTCTGTCTTAATGGAATCAGTCTCTTCTGATCACTTTTCTCTCCTCCTTTCCTCCCTCAAAATCATGTGCAGTGGAGAGAGGGGCTTCTGGCCTTCTGGGTCACTTTTCCCACCCTCACCTTGACACCAAGCCGCCTCCACTTGTGCCTCCCCGTGCCCCCCGCCCTGCCCACCCTGGGCACCCGTCACCCATGGACGACTCAGAAGTGGAGTCGACCGCCAGCATCCTTGCCTCTGTCAAGGAGCAGGAGGCACAGTTCGAGAAGCTGACCCGGGCCCTGGAGGAGGAACGGCGCCATGTCTCAGCCCAGCTGGAGCGAGTCCGGGTCTCCCCACAGGATGCTGGCCCGGGCTTGGCCAACGGCACGCTCACCCGGCGGCACCAGGTAAAACACCCCCTCGGCAGAGGGGCGTGCACAGGCTCCTGGAGCCCCTAGCTGTGTCAGTCCTGCCTCCCCTCGGCCCTCCTTGGACACGGGAGCTGGCACAGGGCCCGGCTGTTGTTGTGGTACTGGTGTACTGGAGTCAGTCTGGGGCTGTGCAGACCTCCTTTGGCAGAGTCTTCAGGAGAGGAGGTGCCAGTCTGGAAGGTCTTGTTGACAGGTCAGCTCTGCTCTGGTTTTGGGAAGGTCAGCGATTGGCTGTGCTCTGTTCCAGGGCATCTCTGCTCCCCGCTCGGCTGCTTGGAGGCCGGCTGAAATGCCACGGCTGGGGTGTGTGTGTCTCCCTCTGTGTGTGACAAAGGGCAAATCCCCGGAGTCTCAGTCTGTCCCCACATGGCCAAACCGGGGCTGCAAGAGRTCTTCTCTGTATGGCTGGAAATGTGGTTTCATCTGTCTTGGCTTGAGGTGTTTCCTCACTTTCTCAGGCTCAGTCTTGGAGAGGGGTGCTCAGAGGGCTGGTGTGTGGTGGTGTGCAGGATCCAGGTGCCTTTCCGACTCTGGAAGGTGGTGGTGCCAGGAGGGGCCTGTGGGGCAGGGCAGGGTGGACAGAGGAAGAGTCCGAGTGTCAAACCAAGCACCCGTGATTGGCCACCATGCGGTTCCCTCAGGCCCAGGGGGCCTCTGGAGTGTCACCGGTGGCTCTTGCGTCAGGATGTAGAAGCTTCTCCAGGGCCCTGCTGGGCAGCAGGGGAAGGTCATGACCATTCCATCAGGAGTGTGTGGGAGAACTGGGATGTTGGGGAGTCTTCTGTGACTCTTCCCCAGGCTGGCCTGGAGGTTTGCTGCACATGGCACAGACCCCTGAGGTGTGTGTTCCTCTGCAGGGGGCTTCCGTGGGGTGTGTGTTGGTGTCTCTGCCATGTGCGGGAGATGGGCTGCTCAGGGCCCTGCAGGGAAGCGAGAATGAATAGGATACGTGGGAGAGCAGTGTAGTAATGGGTCTGCTGCCCTGCTGTGTTTCAGAACGGACGTTTCCTGGGCGATGCTGACCTGGAAAGGCAGAAATATTCAGATCTGAAGCTCAACGGGCCCCAGGTAGGKGGAGCTCAGCCCTCCGGCTGTGGGCAGCCTGCATGCTAGGGGAGGGTGAAGGACAGTGTTCCAGTGTCCCCATTCCAGCTGGTAGAGGGTGACTTGGGCTTCCGATGTGGCCACCGTGGCTTAAAGGTACCTTCTTCCAAAAGGTATCAGGGCTTCCTGTGAGGAAAGATCTCTGATCCAGCTGACTCCAGGAAGGTCCAGGTTGCTGACASGGCCTGACTGTCTAACACTTTTCTCCTCAGGACCACAGCCACCTCTTGTACAGCACAATCCCCAGGATGCAGGACCCGGGCCAGATCGTGGAGGAGACGTACACCATGGAGGAGGACCCGGAAGGGGCCATGTCGGTCGTGTCTGTGGAAACATCAGATGATGGGACAACCCGGCGTACAGAGACCACGGTATGGGCCTGGGGACACCATGGAGGGARAGGGCATGATTGGGGTCCATGGTGGCTGGATGCTCTGTCCTGAGCTGAAAGAAGGTGTGAGATGTGCCTGAAGTAAAGTGCTGGGCTGGAAGGGGAATCTGGGGATGCAGGGGCATGGTGAGTTTCCTGATGTGAGCGCATCCCGCACACATGTCCCTCGTCTAGGTGAAGAAAGTGGTGAAGACTGTGACCACGCGGACGGTGCAGCAGGTGCCGGTGGGGCCCGACGGGCTGCCTTTGGAAACCTCCCCCGTCACCAGCAACTATGTCCAGACCATGGACAGGAATTTCCGCAAGAACGGCAACGGGGGTCCCGGCAGCTACCTGGGCCAAGCTGGCACGGCCACCCTCCCTCGCAACTACCACTACCCCGACGGCTACGGCCGCCCCTACGAGGACGGGTACCCAGGCAGTGACCACAGCTACGGCAGCCTGTCCCGTGTCACCCGCATCGACGAGCGCTACCGCCCTTCCATGGACACCTACCGGGCTCCCAGCCGCCAGGACATGTATGGCCCCCAGCCCCAGGTGCGTGTTGGGGGTAGCAACATGGACCTCAACCATTTCCACCCTGAGCCATATGGCCTGGAGGATGACCAGCGCAGCGTGGGCTTYGAAGATGTGGACTACGGGCTCATGTCTGACTACGGCACGGCCAGGAGGGCGGGGACCCCGTCTGATGCTCGGCGGCGGCTCAGGTACGTGGCAGGAGGCTCTGGAGTGCTCTGGGGTCCTTGAACTTCACCCTCCTTGGAGGAAGGAGGACCGTGGACACAGCACTGTGAGCTGAGTCACACGTGGCTCACCCAGGAGAAAACTTTCATCCGCTTCTAATTGTCTGCTTAATTGGTGGTTAAACCTGGGTGCTAATTGAGCCGGTCTCCTGCAGCCAGGAGTTCCAGTGGGCAGCTGGATGTAGCTCCAGGCCCTTCCCTCTGCACCACCTGGGCTGTGTGTGCCCCAGCATGGTGCATCCTTCTGGGAGCAATGCCTGTGCGGGTTGTGTGGTGGGAGCAGCAGCAGCAGCAGCCCCACGATCATGTTCTCCCTGAGCCAAGAGCAGCCCTGGGACGAGGAGCTGAGCCTGGGCTGGGGTGAGCAAGGCTCGGCCCCACAGTGCCCCAAGAGCGTTCCTGCACAGCCCGACCCTGCTGCAGGGCAGGGCGGGTGAAGCTGCTCAACCTGTTTGGCAGCAGCAGCAGCAGCTTCTCCGCCTCACCTCGTGTGTCTGAGGCAATGGTGGCTTCTCCAGCTTGCTGGGCTGTGCTGCCCTCGGCGGCCAGAGCAGGGGCTTGGTGGTCCTTCCTGCYTTGCCAGGCATTCGGGCTGGGCATTCGGGATGTCACATGCCTAAGGCCATGACTGCTGCCCACGGGCCTTTTGTGCCAGCTGTCCCTGAATGAGTGCTGCTTCYTGCTCTGCTCCTGGCTGGGCTGTCAGCAGGGCTTTGGGCACATGCTTTGGCAGGTAGGGCTGGAGAGGTAGCAATGGAGTGAGGGCCTGAGAGTCCTGGACACAGGGAAGGGACTGTGTCAGCACCTCCTGCATGCCCCAGAGTGAGCCCAGATAAGGCTCAGCACAGACTGCCTAAGCTCCTGGGACATAAAACAGAGGCACTGGGGAGAGACCTGGGCGAGAGGAGGCTCTTGCCAGTCTCTCTGGAGATCTGCCCGATCCAGGTGCACGCTGTAAATCCACGGTAGCTCCTGGCTGCCGGAGGGACTGAAGGAGCAGCTTTGTCTGTCCTTGTGACTGGTGCCAGCACAAGTGCTGCTGGGCTGTGCTGAACCAGTCGGGGTGGTTGCTCGCTCAGATGGATTTGCTTGGCTTCCTTGCTTTGTGCAGCTTGTGCCGGCTGGAGGAGGGCAGGCAGGGCTGCTCCAGGCTTTTCCCTCCTCGGGCAGCCCGTGACAAGGCAATGATGACAGTTTTGACCACATGGCCATCACATCTCATCCCTCAGTGAGCACCTGGGGCAGAAGAGACAGGACACAGGTGTGTCTGACCCCTGGCTGCTTGGCCAGACAGAGACTCTGGCTTGTCTGCTTCCCCTGAGCTGTGTCCTGAGCAGCCTTTGAGCCCACTAGCCCTCTCTGCTCCGGTGGAAGGTGTCTGTGCTCCTGCTCCTCTGGGTCCTGGAGGAGGGGATTGACAGGAGCCAAGTGCAGGAGCTGCAGCCAGGTGGGAGACTGGGGGATGTGGGTCACACACATAGTGGAGGTCAGCTCTGCTGGAGATGTCAGCTTGTCCTGCAGAATGGCTCAGGGTATGAAAGATGGGTTGGTGGGCCCCTGAGCCAGCTCTCCTTCCCCGGGCAGAGCGATAAAGATCACAGCAATCTGTGGAATCCAGGCGCTGTTGAGCTTGGCTTGTCCCCCACCTTCTCAGTTACCATCCGCACTCGCTGCCCGCTCGCAGGAATGGGAACAGGGAGAGCAGCGTCCCCCCCTGCCTCAGAGATGTTTGTCTTGAGCAGGAGCCTGGCTGTTAACGACTTCCTTCGGGGGGGCAGCTCGCCAGGCACGCGGAGCCGAAGGAGCGCCTCGAGCCGCGGGACACCACGCGTTCTGGCTGCCATCTGCCGCAGAGAGCACTGGCCCCTGCTCTGGGGCTCTTCTCAGCTCCCTTCTTTCAAGGAAGGGGGGTACTTGACATTCCCTGCCAGCCCAAACTTGCCTGGAGGGGCCGGGTGGGATCTGGCACCGCCGTGGGATGGGAGCTCCCTTTTGGGGAGCGCGAGTCTTGGCACAGGAGTGGGATAGGCTGCCAGCCGTGTTGGCAAGTGTCAGTGGCTGCGTCTCACTCCGACCTCGCGCTGCTGCTGCTCTGAGCTGCCAGGCATGGGGCAGCTGTCAGGACCTGCTGGAAGCCAGCCTGGCAGCCCACTGCCAYGCCACAGCTGTGCCACAGCACCCGGAAGGTGTGTGGCTGTGCAAGTGGCCATAAAGCTGGTGGCTTAGGCAAGTCCTGCCACCATCCTTGACAGGATACTTAGAGTCAGGGGCTACCTGTGCCCGATCCAGGGGCTTGGGAAGTGTTTGAGCAGCCCCTGGAGCAGGTGTGAGCCGGAGTGTGGAAACCTCTCCTTGGGTCTTGTTTGAATGTCCTCAGTGCCCTGGCACAGCAGGGGTGACCGAGCTGTCCCCTCCCATCCCTTTCTGTTGGAAATCGMTGGATTCCTGTGCCTGGGTGGGGGAAGGATTAGAGTGCCAGTGACTGCAAAAATGGGAGGATCTGGGATTTTGAGAGGTGTGTGTTCTGGGGGTGTTAAATGTCACTTTGGCATGCGGGGTGGTAGTTACACTTTAAATTTCCATGTGCTTGTTTGGGCTCATTCCCAGCGCTGCCAGTCTGTGGGTGAGCTGCTCCTGGCCAGGGCCGGGATGTGGGACCATGGCTCCTTCCCGGGCATGTACTGGAAGCCACGAGCTTGATCCCTGGAGCTTGGGCGTCTCTTGGTGCCTGGCTCAGCCTGTCCCCAGGGCAGCAGCACACCTTGCCTGTGGGGCTGGCTGCTGYCTCTGCAGGAGTCCAGGATCCAGGAGTCCAGGAGACCAGGATCTAGCATTATCCCTTCCAGTGGGCTGGAGGGGACACAGCCTCCCCCAGGTCCGGGACTGTGCTGACGCCCGCTGCCCTCTCTCCTAGGAGTTACGAAGACATGCTGGTGGATGAAGTAGCCCCCGACCGGTACTACTGGGCCCCGCTGGCCCAGCACGAGCGGGGCAGCCTGGCCAGCCTGGACAGCCTGCGGAAAGGCCCGGCCCCRGGGAACTGGCGCCAGCCAGAGCTGCCGGAGGTCATTGCCATGCTGAGCTTCCGGCTGGATGCCGTCAAATCCAACGCAGCCGCCTACCTGCAGCACCTGTGCTACCGCAATGACAAGGTGAAGACKGAGGTGCGCCGGCTGAAGGGCATCCCTGTACTCGTGGGGCTGCTGGACCACCCCAAGAAGGAGGTGCACTACGGYGCCTGCGGAGCCCTCAAGAACATCTCCTTCGGCAAAGACCAGGATAACAAGATCGCCATCAAGAACTGCGACGGGGTGCCCGCCCTGGTGCGCCTGCTGCGCAAGGCCCAYGACATGGACCTCACCGAGGTCATCACAGGTAGCGGCTCCCGGGAGGGCAGGAYGGGCTGGCTCCTGTGGTGGGGTCTGTGGTCAGGGTCAGAGTGCTCACTTTCCACTTGTGGCATTGCAGGGACGCTGTGGAACCTGTCCTCGCACGATTCCATCAAGATGGCCATCGTGGATCATGCACTACATGCCCTGACCGATGAGGTGGTCATTCCCCGCTCCGGCTGGGAGCGGGAGCCCAACGAGGACTCCAAACCCCGCCATATAGAGTGGGAGTCGGTGCTCACCAACACTGCTGGCTGCCTTAGGTATGGATATGGCGGAGCACTGGCCTGGGTTTAGGTTGCAATGCTTCTTCCAGGCTGTTCTGGCATTGCCAGAGGTCTGTGGAGCAGCTGCTCTCCTGAGACAGCTGCTAGTGATACAGACCTTGAGTTGGGAGGAGCTTCCCTCCATGAGGGGAGCCACAGGAGCTGTTTTCTCTCTTGAGCTCTGTGGTGTGTGTGCTGCCCCTGGCATGCCCTCAGCTGTCCCTCCCGTGACAATTCTCTCCTGCCTGTCAGGAATGTGAGCTCGGAGCGGAGCGAGGCCCGTCGGAAGCTGCGGGAATGTGAYGGGCTGGTGGATGCCCTGATCTACATTGTGCAGTCTGAGATTGGCCAGAAGGACTCGGACAGCAAGGTACCACAGCAGGGCTGGTGTCGGGGAAGGGAGAGCCTGTGTGGGGTGTGCCTGGCACTCAGTCTGTGGTTTGGGGTAGGAACATAGGCCCCCCAGCAGGGGCCTGGTTGTGTCACTCATCCCCACAMTGTTGTCCCTGGCTCAGTGCTTTCTGATCTGCCTGGATGAGGTGTTGGCTGTAATTTTCCCTGAGCTTTAAGCTAAAGGCTGGGCTGGGCCCTTGCTCGCACATCTGCAGTGCTGCTCCCGGTGTCTCAGTCAGATGCTCTGGCTCTCTCCCCAGCTKGTGGAGAACTGTGTGTGCCTGCTGAGGAACCTGTCCTACCAAGTCCACCGTGAGATCCCCCACGCCGAACGCTACCAGGAGACGCCCCTGGCCCCCCCCAACAACGCCGGACCCCACGCCGCCAGCTGCTTTGGGGCCAAGAAGGGCAAAGGTTTGTGTGCCAGCAGGGAAGGGAGGGAGGGGGACAGAGACAGGTCTTGAGGGTGTTCTGGGGTCCCTGTGCTCCTGCTCGGGTATCTTGTGTGAAGCTTGAAGGGCAGCTGTCTCTGGAGGCGCAGTGTTCCCTGCTTCCCTGGCTCTGGGAGCTGCTGCTTGGCTTGCCCAAAGCATTTGGCACAAGCTGTGGTGGGTGTCTGTGGTGGTGGGATGGTGACGGGTACATGTCCACTAACTCCACGCCTTCCCTTTTCTCCTGTRTTGCCCCTTCCCCTTCCCTTTGCTTCCTTGCCAAATGATCTGCCCCATGACGCTGTCGGCACCTCTCTTCTCCTGCCTCCCCCCTCTCCTGTCCTTCTCTCCGCCTCACCAATAGACGAGTGGTTCTCCAGAGGTGAGTGCGCTCTTGGTTTTACTTTTTCCATGGTTTAATTGGGTGCTTTCTCCAGCTCTCTTTGTCCCCCATCCCCAGCTGGGCACATTCTGCCTGCAGTGTGGCTAATGCCCCCAATGTCCCCTCGTGGGACACGCTGGTCGCTTGGCTTCAGCTTGCCTCTGGGCTTGTTCCTGCAAGCTGCAAAGAGCTGTTGGGTCGAGGAGGGTGGGGAGAGGAGGAGTCTCACACCTTTCTCCACACGCCCTTTAAAGGTAAAAAGCTCCCAGAAGACCCTGGTACCGACACAGTGGATTTTCCCAAAAGAACAACTCCGGCCAAAGGTATGTTCCTTGGGTGATTGTGCAGGGCTTGGGTGTCAGGGCAGCTTTTCCCACAGCAGCCTGGGAGAGGAGAAAGAGGAGCTGTTTCCCGTTGAATTGAGCCTCTCCAATGGGCAGAAGTTGAGTTTGGGGCAGCAATGTTCCTGGCTGCCCCAGGGGCCTGTTAAAACGCGAGCTCTGCCAGTAGATGTGAGGATCTTGTGCGTGAATGTGGTCAGCGCTGCCTCAGGACAGGCTTCAGAGGGAAATACTGTCCCAGGGGCTGAGGGACAGCATAGTGACACATCCCTCTGTGGTGGTCTCAGACTTGTCAGCACAGTTGCCCTCTTGCCTGCTCTTCTCTCCTGAGYATGAAGAACAGGCAGGATTTAAAGTCAGAGTCTCTGCCTAAAAGTGTTACCCTGCCATCAGAATGAGGAAGGGTCATTCCCAGAAGCCTCTGGGGACAAGTGTCTCGCTGCCTGTAAATCACAGTCCCTGGCCAAGCAGTGGCTGGAGTTTTGGGTGCCTTAGTGCAGCCTCTCTGTGCCAAGGCTCCCACCCCCAGGGACCCTGGGCAGAAGCTTCCAGCCTGGTCTGCCCAGCAGCGCCCCTTTGGATTAGGGAGACGCAGGCAGAGCCTTTGGCTAAACCCTTGCCATCTGTGTTCTCCTGGCAGGCTACGAGCTCCTCTTCCAGCCAGAAGTGGTGCGGATATACATCTCCCTCCTGAAGGAAAGCAAGACTCCGGCCATCCTGGAGGCTTCGGCAGGAGCCATCCAGAACCTGTGTGCTGGCAGCTGGACGGTGAGTGCCCACAGGGCTGGTGCTATGACAGGGGAGGGGAGCAGGCTCAGCACCTGTGGGGGCTGGCTGCCATGTCCCCAGCCCCGGGTGACACGGTGGCCCTGTGCCTCTCTGCAGTATGGCCGGTACATCCGCTCAGCCCTGCGCCAGGAGAAGGGGCTCTCCGCCATCGCCGACCTCCTGACCCATGACAGTGAGCGCGTGGTGAAAGCGGCATCCGGGGCCCTGCGTAACCTGGCCGTGGACCTGCGCAACAAGGAGCTGATCGGTGAGGGTGGCACRTTCCCCGTATCCAGGGGCTTCCTCCTCCTCCTCCTCCTCTTTTTGGCTGCTGAGGAAGTGCGTGGGCACAGCATCAACCCAGCTCCTTTTGCTGCCCCTGCCCAAAGCAGAGTGCTGAGCTCTGCGGAGAGGGACAGCAGAATGGGTCACCTGTCAGCGGTTTTGCCTTCAGTCCTGTCCCTTGCTTGCTCACACCCAACTCTTTGTCCCACCCAGGCAAACATGCCATCCCCAACCTAGTGAAGAACCTGCCTGGAGGCCAGCAGACCCCTGCTAAAAACCTCTCTGAGGACACAGTGGTGTCAATCCTCAATACCATCAATGAAGTGATCGTGGACAACCTCGAGGCTGCCAAGAAGCTCCGGGAAACACAGGGGATTGAGAAGCTTGTGCTGATCAATAAATCTGGGTAGGCACTGCTCAAAGGATGATGCCAAGGGTGGAGAGGGGCTTCACTTCCTTCCTCTGAAAGTAAAAAGGTTTCCAAACATCCTTTCCTTCCCCACTTCCTAGGAACCGCTCAGAGAGAGAAGTCCGGGCAGCTGCCCTCGTGTTGCAGACAGTCTGGGGCTATAAGGAGCTGCGGAAGCCCCTGGAGAAGGAAGGCTGGAAGAAGTCAGATTTCCAGGTGTGGGGATGCCCTTTGGCGGCTGGGGCTGTAGGTGGGGTCCTGGAGCGAGGAGAAGGCTTTCCTGGAGCATGGCAGTACTGGCCTGCAGCTCTTCACCGTGCTGGTGGCACTGGGCACCCACAGTGGTGTCCCTGTGCTGTTTCTCAGCCAATGGCCAGCAGGAAGTCTGCTCAGAGCACTCCRTAAAGTGTCATGCCCCATGTCCCACACAAGCAGAAATTTGTCACCGTAAGTGCTGCTGTGACAGTGCTGAAGGATAGAGTTCTCCCAGGCTGTGTCCATCCCAAAAGAAGGGACTGCCCTTGCTGCTGGAGGGCCGGGCACTGCCTCCGTCCAGGCAGTCTCCCCCATTCTAATAGGGGTGCAGTGAGGAATTCAGCACCTTCTGGATACTTTTGGGTACCTTGCTCAAGGGCTGTGGGAGGGCTCCTGGGTTTGTCCKGGTGCTGGAGGGGTGAGATGTGCTGGTGGGGAAGGAGCATCTGGGCCCAGGGTCTGAGCAGTCACTGTTGTTGTAGGTGAACCTGAACAATGCYTCTAGGACCCAGGGAGGCAACTCCTTTGATGACAGCACCTTGCCTCTCATTGACAGGAACCAAAAAACAGGTATGTGCCTTCCTCCAGCACCTGTGCCTACCACCATCCCTCTTCCTCATGGGTACCCAGAGCAGCTGGCATTTGTTCCCTCCCTGCTCTTCAGCTTTAGCTTCCCTGGCAGTCACGGCTGCTCACACAGGGCCATCAGTTTGGGCCTTAGATGGCTTCTTGGGGCTGGAACTGTAGGTCCTGTGGTGTCCTTGGGTGTCAGAGCTGCAGTTGGGCCTGGGCTCCCCCAGCCAGGGCAGGCAGCAGTTCCTCCTGGCTGCAGGGACTGTTCCTGATGTGCTCTCCYATGCTTGCAGACAAGAAATCCTCCCGGGAGGAGATCCAGATGAGCAACATGGGACCAGGTAGGAGAGGGACTCTCCCTCCGTATGTGGGATGGGGGSCAGAGTTCACATATCCTGTGGGGTGGTGCAGCCCCCCGTGGAGRTGACATGACTGACTGTCTGCTCTCCTGCTCCAGATAACTATTCCACACTCAACGAGAGGGACCACAGCAGGACACTGGACCGATCCGGTGACCTCRGCGAGATGGAGCCGGTGAAGGCAGCACCGTTGATGGTGAGCAGCTCTCCTTAACTCGGGGAGAGTGGGGTGGGTGCAGGAGGTGCCACATCACTGTCCTGACTGGCACAGGAGCGGAGAGCTGGGCTCCTACAACTAACACCCCCTGCGCCATAGCCCCTACTAACCCCATGTGTCTGCAGCAGGAGGAGGGGCAGGAGTTGCTGCCTGCGGTAGAGGAGGCGGAGGAAGATGCTGCTGTGCCCTCCCCCGTGTCGGTATGTCCCACGGTGTCCTACCCAATCTGACAGTGGTGACAGATCCTGCTCTGCTCTTAGGGGTGCTTGGCCAGCCAAATCCTGCTCCAATCACTGCTGCTGCAATCACTGGTGCTGTGATCCCGCCTCCACCCTCACTCCCACTCCGGCCCTAATGCCTGTCCCTCTCTTTCTCTCTCCACAGCAGAAGATCTAGCTGGCCTCCCCRCCTCCGCTCTGTTTGGGTTGATAATATATTATATATATAAATATATAACTCTTCATGGTGGAATGGACCGACTTTTACCTTGTCTTATTGTTGGAATATTTGCTGGACTCTTCTGTGCCAACCATCCAGCCAAACGCCTGGGCCGGGTCCCCGGGGCAGCTCGGGCCACTCSGTCTCCTCGGGGCCGCTGCACCTCCCCGTTCTGGGACACCACCACTGAGAACTCCTCCTCCTCCTGTCCTCCACCACCTCCTTCCTCTTGAGAGTAAAACCTTCCTGCCTGACACTGCCGGATCAGCCGGTGTGGATGCTGCACAAGGACTCGGTTCTCTGCCTTGACCAGGAGCTGCCTTCTCTCCCACGCCTTCCCCCTGCTCCAGGGCGTCTGCAGGGACAGGGACTGGGACCTCACTCGCTGCCGCCTTGTTTTTGGTTTGGTTTTGTTGCCTATAGGATATATTTTTTTTGTGTGGGATCAGTCTTCAGCCAGGGCCATGGGGACAACAGGAGCATACCTCCTCCCTGAGGGCTACAGGACCAGAGTCTGGGGGCTGGAGATGCGGCAGGAGAGAGGAAGGAAAACCAGCAATAACTTCTCTTGCTTTGCTCTAGATGAAGCTTTGGAGGCTGGGGAAGGGGGATCCACCTCTGGGTCCTGCGGAGGGGCCTGGATGGGGCGCTGGCTCCCACCCAGTGCCTGCAGGAGGAGGATCCTGTCAGGACGGGGGTCAGTGCCGGGTGTGGGCCGGGGTGCCCGTGGAGGGAAGAGATGCGGCAGGATTTTGGGGAGAGCGGGCGGCTCGGGGCGCGCTGTGCCAGGTGCCTGGAGCTGGGATCCCCGCAGCGCTGCCCCACTGACTTTCTCTTGACACGTGCCTTTCTTTTGCCACTGTGAAATAGCTCTTTGAATCGTACTGTCCAGCTGCTTCCCTGGGAAAGGGGAGTTTCCTGGGCTTCCGGCAGGGCTGAGCTCTTCCTTYCCTGCTGGGAGCCTTACCTGTCTGCAATGGGGCTGGGAGCCTGTCTTGGGGGAGCCCAACCCCCCTGCCCTCGCTGAGAGGGTGCCGGGTGCTCATCGGCATCCTAGCCTGGGCTGCCACAGGAGTTGGATGTGCTCCTCCTCCTCCTCCTCTTGGCTGTGGTGCTGGGGCACGTCCATGTGCTGTGATCYTTGAGGGGGCCCTGGGGCTCCCTGTGCAACTGGAAGCCTCTGCAGGAGGCTGCAAACTGGAGCAGGAGCCCTTCCAGCCTGGGGCTCCCCCCAGGGCGGGCTCTCGGGGTGTGGGGACGCAGCAGGGGCAGAGCTGGTGCCTTCTTGCTCCTGCTCCACATCCCCCCCAGCTCCGGCTGGGCCCTCCCTGCTTCCAGCCCCACCTCAGCTCGGTTGGGTTTTGTTCTGGGGTCTAACTCTTCTTTTTTCCTTTAAATATGTAAAACACTAATTCCTTTTTTAATTTTTAATTCCAAATGAACCAAAAAGACAGCATCCCCCTTCTCTCCTCCTTGGCCCTGGTGGGGAGGAGGACCGAGGAGGCGGGGAGGGGGAAGCACCAAGCCGTTCCTTGTCTGATTCCTGTGCACACTCTTGTAACGCTTTTAAAACAAAATGATTTTTTTATATAAATAAAGTTTTTAAAGTGTGATGTGTGCCTGCCCAAGTCACTTTTCCAAGGGTGGTGCTGGTTTCTGTGGCTCCCAGAGGTGTCACAGTGTGGTATTTCCCAGCCCTCCCACCTTGCTTTGCACCCTTGTCCCCAAAGCCACCAGTGAGCGGAGAAAAGGCAGGACCAGGTGTTTTATTGCTTCAAATGCAGAGCGCAATGCCAGGGATGTCTTGCAGGGAGGGGGACAAGGAATGATGTCCGGCTTGGCAGTAGCAGTTGCATGAGCAGGACTGGTACCAGGGATGTTGATGGGGGCGGTATGAGGCATGTTTGGGTCAGCAGGGACAATGGCAGGATGATGCTGGGCACAGCTGGGCAGGGTRGCTGTGTGCTGGGCCCCGGGGCTCAGACAAAGAGCTTGTCGTGGCAGGGCTGGCAGTACATCTTGTCGCCACGCTCGTGGAAGGTGCCCTTGTGCAGCCGGCCCAGGCAGTAGGTGCACACGAAGTGCTCGGGGTGGTACCTGCGGCCCGCGGCCGTGACGCAGCGCCCGGTGACGGGGCGGCCGCAGCCGTGGCAGATGGTGCCCTGCCGCTGGTGGAAGTGCAGCTCGCAGTAGGGCCGCCCCTCCAGCTCGAAGAAGGAGCCGCTGGTGAAGCCAGTCAGGCACTCCTGGGGGAAGGAAAAGGGAAGGCTGGCACGGCTCTGGGAACACACCCATTCCCTGCATCCCTGCTGTCCCACTCACCGTGCACACAAAGCACTCCAAGTGCCACACACCCTCCAGGGCTGTAATGTAATTGTCTGTGACGGGGCGCTCGCAGCCCTGGCATTTGGGGGCAAACACGGCCAGGAAGTCCTGGTGGCAGTATGGTTTCCCGTTTCGCTCCATGAACCCTGTGGAGAGGGGATTGGGCTGGGGGCATGTACACGGTGGTACCCAGGACAAGAGGAGAGGGCGAGACCATGGATGGGGCAATAAGTGCAAGGGCAGGGGCTACCTGGGCTGGGGGCAGGACCCCCAAACCCGTTCCTTGAGACGTACCCTCATCTCCGAACACCTTCCCGCAGTGGGCACAGAAGAAGTGCTCSGGGTGCCAGGTCTGCTCCAGGGCCGTGAGGACTTTCTGCAGGAAAAGCTGAGGTGAAGGGGCTGGTGGGGGCGGTGGGGGAGGCCGGGGGTCGCTGGCTCACCTCGCGGATGGGGCCGGCACAGTAGGCGCAGCGCGGGGAGAAGGCCTGGTGATAATCGTCCTCGCAGAACGCCTGCCCGCCCTGCTCGAAGAAGGGCCCCTTGTCCAGCTCCCGCCCGCAGCGGGCACAGGTGAAGTGCTCCGGGTGCCAAGTTTTGCCCAGGGCCGTGAGCACCTGCGAGAAGAAGGCAGGGGGATGTAAGGGCAGGCCCGGGGGATGCTCAGGTGTGCCGGGGCGGCGGCGGGGCTCACCTTGCCGGCAATGGGCTTGTGGCAGGCGGCGCAGACCCCGGCGGGCGCGGCTGTGATGCCCAGCTCCTGCAGGTCCCGGGTCAGGCTGCCCAGCATGTTGTCCAGCGGCGACTCCGCGGGCACCCCGGATCCCTGTCCCAACAGCTGCCCAGAAAGAGGATGGTGAGGGCTGGGTGAGGGCTGAGCCCCCCATCCTCCCACCCCAGGGTTGARCTCACCTTGCTCTGCATATGGCCCAGGTCAGCCAGGAGCTCGTCCAGCTGCCGGGCGGCCTCCGTGGGTGGGGSTGAGGGCAGCTGCGGCTTTGGGACYGGCACAGGGATGCTGGAAATGGCAGAGGAGGGGGTGCTGAGACCGAGAYCCCTCCACCCTCGCCAACACAGCCCTTTTCTACAGGCTGCAGCAGGGGACACTGCAGGGATGCAGGAGACAGACTCCCCAGTCTCCCACGGCCATTTTTACCTGTACAGTGAATCCAAACCCTCTCCTGGAGCCTGATCTCGAGGTGGCAGTGGCACCTGGAAGGACAAACCCTTGTGGCAGAGCCCTCAGGGGGCTCCCCTGGCAGATTCCCACATCTGCCCTCAGGAGTGGAGGGGTCTCTGTGCCCAGGCATTACCTTCGGGGTGCCATCCTGGCAGGAGCTTGGTCCCTGTGGCACGCTGTCCTTGGGTGCCAGGCAGGAGCTCTGCTCCAGCTCTGCCAGYAAAGCATCTGCACAGAGACAGCCGGGTCAGCCCCACAGCCACTGCCTTGTACCACTCCCAAAACGCCGGGTGCAAAATGAGTGTCACAGCAGGTCCTGCTGGCCCGGTGCCAGCACCCCAAGGGGCCCCCAGCACCCTCCCCGAGACCCCCATCCCAGTGCAGGGTGTGCCTGCCTTCCCAAAGTGTGGGGCAAAGGCTGCTGCCCCCTCACACCACCCCTGGACGGCAAAGGAAGATGTGCCAGTCTTCAACTCGGCCCAGCGCGAGCCCTGGAAGGGAAAAGCTCCCCCTCGGGCACATCCTGCAAGGCCAGAACACCACTTCCCCCKGGGAGGACCCAGTGCTTTTCCTTCCTGCTTCACCCCTCTGCCTTGGCTGCACCTCACRCTGGGACACAGGGAATGCCCACGGTGGCACAGCTGCTGTCCCGACCCCGGCTCCCCCACACCAGGCTGGGGACAGCCCCCAGCCCCCTYGGGGACAGCCAGGATTCAGCCCATTTCCTGCTCTCCAGCTCGCTCCATTTTTGGCCAAGTGCTGACTGGACCATTGGCCCCGTGGGTTCCTTGGGATGAGGGAGGTGCAACGAGGGGCTCCATGGTTGCCCCGCTGCGGCATCCCCTCCATCCGGGAGGCAGAGGAAGGAAAAGGCTCCCTGGAGGTGCTGAAGGTGTCACCTCAAGCTGGGCCTGGCTGTGGGCCCAAGCTCTGGAGAGGCCCAACTTACCCAAATCCTCCATCCTGCCTTGGCGAGGGGTCCTGGGGACAGGAGCAGCGCCCCGAGGCGCTGAGATGGCAGTGGAGGCTGTGCCCGCTCTGTTCCGGTCTCGCCTCCGCCCCCACCGGGGTTTGTCACCCAGGGTTTCCTTTGTGGGCTGCGTGCTGACACCACAYGTAACTGGCACAGCTGGGCCACAGGGAGCCACCACAGCCCAGCCCGGCACTGCAGAGGGGACAAACYGGCCAACAGGCTGCCCAAGGAGCTCCAGAGGCCAGAACGTGGATGTCCTGCTGACCCAGGCTCTTTCCAGATGCCACCAGCCACATGTGACAAGGAGCAGTGTCCCCGTGCCAGGTGGACACAGGTGGATTTGGGGCAGTGTGATGGAGCGGTGCCGGCACATTCTGGGGACACTTCTGGAGCCTTGTCTTGCATTTCCAGGTAACAGTAAATCCCTTTTTGGCAGAGCAATCTCCTGGGAGCAGGCAGAGGATGTGGGAACAGCTCCAAGGACCATGGTTGATGCCAGAGATGGGTGCACATGGCTCGGAGTGTCCTTCAGGCTCTTGTTCAGGTGTTTGGACGAGGCAGCGCCAGGCAGGTGACCAGCAACATCTCTGCCACCTCAGCAGGGACAGGTTGGCATGGAGCTGATAGGAGCAGGGACAGGAAGAATCCCTGTGCGAGGATCCTGAGCTTTTCTTTAGCTTTCATGCAAGGCCATTCTTCTCCTTGCCGGTGTCTGGGCGGGGGGACTGTGGTTCTCCACACTGAGGGGGGTTATTAGCACGCTCTCGGGACTGTTGGACACACTTTTGTTTTCTAGGAACATACCAGAGCTCAGGAGCTGAAATGCAGAAGCAGAAAGGACTCGAAAGGCAGAAGCAGAARGAAGCACCAGGCGCTCGGAGCCCTGTCTCTGGTGGGAACCAGCTTGGCAAACAGGATTTTCCAGACAAACGCTGCGGGCTTTTTKAACCCCTGTGATTTTTGCTGTCTCCCAAGGCAGGATGAGGAGCACCTTGTTCTGGGGAAGTGTTACCCTTTGTTCTCCTGTCCTAAAACGGTGGGTAAAGCAGCTAAACCCTCCACTCCAGAGCCATTACACCCCAATCCAGGCCCTGCCCCTGGCCTGGGATCACATCCTACTGCGGCCAAGGCGAGGGGATACTGTGCTAGGGTCAGTCCAGGCCCAAGAACACACCTGGACACTGCTGGCACAGCGAGGGAGGGGATGCAGTGGGCACCGGGACAAAATCCGCGCCCGGGTGGTGCCTTCAGCATCTGTGAGGGTGAAKTTTTGGGGTTTTGTGTGGGTTCAATGTGTTGGCGCTGCTGCTGGTGTTCTGAGGAGGGACTCGGGCCTAAGAAGCCACGGGGGCGGGTCCCCCTGCGCAGCCGCTCCCGGGATTCCCGTTCAGGAGCCGCTCGGGGCGAGGACGGAACCGGGAACGGGAACCGGCACGGCCTCAGCTCGGTGGAACTACAACTCCCGGCAGGCACTGCGCATGCGCGGCCGCGGGACGGAAGCGGGCGGGGCACACRGCCCTGGCCCCGCCCCCCTTGCGCCGGCCGCCATTTTGTCACCGACTTTCACCCGCCGCCCGACGGGGCGTTTTTTTTTTTCTTAAAGGAGAAGCGGCAGCCAAATACGGCCCCGCCGTCAGGCCCCGCCGGTACCGCGGGCGGTGCCGCAGCYCCGCGACACGGAGCGGCTGCGCGCGGCGGGGCGGCGAACGGCTCCCCCTGCCAGGCCTCGCCCTAGGGGCAAAGGGGCCCGGGGGCAGGCGGAGGGGCGCAGGCAGCGGCGGCGGTAGGGAGCCCGG